TACCAATTGTTTTGTCAAATTGTTTTCAGTTCAAAAACAGAGGGAGAAGAAATGTGATGTACGAATACTTGATATGCGCGTTGGTCGTATTGTTGATGTCAAAAAACACCCTAATGCTGACACATTATACGTGGAAGAAATTGATTGTGGTGAAAGTAGTCCCAGAACTGTGATAGCAGCTGACGTGGAACGTTACACATTAGAACAGGTATGGACATGCATCCAGTATAACAATTTATTATGCCTCATGTGCAAGATGGTCACGTGATGATTTTCGTTTTGAGCGTGTGTAGTGGTTAACACAATAAATGGTGTCAACAACATATTCCAACGTTCAAATTATGTTTGGTTGATTTATTCGATATAATAAAACATATAGTCACCTCAGTTTCGGTCAATATTCAATTATAAAGACCCCCGAAAAATATTGACCTCGGCACCTCTTCAGGTCATTAAAACTAAATATTGACTTCGGTAACTCTCTATCAGCAATCGCATTAGTCCACACAACCAGGTTAGACTTTTTGACATTAAGACTGACAATCTGAAAACACATTAACATTAGTTGGTTTACACTATATTTGTTAGCAGAACAATGGGGAAACAAGTCACTCGACTTTCTCGATTTCAGCTGGATCTCGGTGGACATTTGAGAGTAATATCTATTATAGCAATTACAATATTTTAAATGGGGTTGTATTGTAAAAATTTAACGAACCATTACTAATTCTTCCAAATGTAAATAGATATGTCTAGTGGGCATTTCTCACGCAATTTATGAAGACCCCAGACTTACAGCAACATTGTTACAGCAAATATAAAAATGGCTCAAAAATTAAACGTATTCATTAATTGGCAATCTGACCGTTATATCGATCATTTATGAAATTGTTTGAGTGCTCTCGGAGACTTCAACATGTGCTGATTTATTTTGCATTTAAAAGTTGCAAAATGGGTACATATGGGCAACCATGTTCACATGTTCTTGTGGAATACTTTACCTTTCCTATTCCCCGTTATGTTTAATTTGTATTATTATCTGTGATGTATCCTGATTTCATTTGAATTATGTATGTAGCAAAATAAATTGTTCCCTCGAAGATTTACTATCTTACTATTTAGCTGCCTCACTGCGCATTTTCTTGCACGTACACTATTTTTTTGACATAACTGTCTAAATAAAACAGTATCAATTCTCTCTGGTGTCCAGTTTATAAAGAACTGATTATTAAGTCCCAAGTTTGCTACACTTCAAACTCAGGAAATGATACACAGTAAACTGTTATTATTTCATGTATACACTATCCATTAAACGGGAATCTGAATTGATTACTTCAATTGTTGGCGTGCAGCAACACTCGACGCTTTGAGAATAATAATGCCACTGTTCAAGTGATATAATAAAGAATTATAAAGTAACGAACAAAGATGCAGTTCAATTGTCCCATTATTATCTCATGACTCCTTTTGACTGGACATTATGAAACGCACAATAGTGTTTCATGTAAAGCATACATGCTTAGAAACTTCTTTCTATGGATGTGTGAAAAGTAATTCGACGAGAGATTCCCCTTTGACATGGAGACACGTTGCTTAGTGATGATCAGTGAACTGATTAGAGATGTCAATCTGCAGTGCAAAATTAATACATATAACATAATTATGTTAACTTTCAACTGTGATTCGAATTGCTTATATAGACAAATACCTTATGATTAATGATTAATAAAGTAAATGCATAGATGCGTGATTCTATCTAGAACAAAAATATCATATCGTGCATGTTCATACTGATGGATTTATCTCATCTCTCTCTTAGATGACTGATCGCCCGGTAGTCGTACTGTGCAACGTCAAACCAGCAAAAATGCGTGGTATTTATAGTAAAGGCATGTTGATGTGTGCAGTGTCTCAGGATAAGCTAGAATTATTGGAACCACCAGAAGACAGTGTTCCAGGAGACAGGATAAGCTTCGAGGGTTACCCGTGTAAGTGTTTACATCTTTGGTGAATTCCGACTATAATGAGAATCGGATGATTTGATGTCCGTAATTTATGCATACTACGATGGAGAGACGAAATCATAGTATAGTGTTGTATATATAATTAAAGATGTATGTGTTTTTTCCTGGTTAGAATTGATTTTATATAATTGTCGATTATTTTAGTCTATGACGCTATTGTTTGTGTTGATTATATTGTGAGATATGTTAATATGCAAATTCTGATTTCATCAACACTATCACGTTAGTGTACACTCTTGTCTCTTTATTGGTCATAGACTGACATTATTACAGTTATAACACATGTAGTCCCAGGGTAATCTTCCCACCCATGTTGTCGTATTTCTCCAATTTCACATCCCCTGGAATTGTATATAATTTGTCCTTTCGTATGTGAACAAATATTACCCCAAATGAGCTCAGTATATACTCATACATGATTTGCATATTACTGTATAGGCCATCGCACTGTGACGTCATATGTTTACATTTTCGTCAACCAGGGTGCGAATTTGTGATGACAAATGTCGCTTACTGGTCAGCACTAATTCGCAATCTGCTTATTAACAGCGCAGGAACCTTGCCCATTAGTTTTTCTAACAGGGACGCATACGTGTACCTTTAATGACAACAACAGCGCCTTTAACTTTTCTTCGGGTGCGAACGACTGATTTTTGCCAACCAGTTACCGCGCAAGCGCACGCGCGCAAAACGTAAACGAGTGCGACGATTTTGTTGACAACTCATTAACTGTTAGGACTTAATCTGCATAATGTATAGTTGTATAGTGTTTTGTGAATAATTTAAAACTTAATATATTCTTATTTGACAGTGGATGCGTATCCTACAAGATTGCTAAACCCAAAGAAGAAGATATTCAGGAGAGTTCAGCGATATCTTTGCATTAACTCGGATGGGATTGCAACATACAGGGGCATACCATTCAGTGTAACTGGGAGAGGCGTGTGTACCGTACCATCGTTGACCAATGCAGAGATCAAATAAATTAACACGTTGTAGGATCATGATATATTACTATCTCATATTCAACCATTTCTTCTTCTAGGAGGGAAATAATAGTTTTGTAATCATTGAAGAGAAAAACATTTTTATGTATATTATAGTATTAATCCATTGTGTATGAATTATGGGATTTTGATTAATACATTTATGGAACACCAAATTAATATACCTGTTATTTGAAAACAATTTGCTTAGATGACCTCATAAACGGAAAGAAAAAGGGAGAATATGTTCTGACGAACACAGATTTCATTGTTTTCTCATTTTTTCGAATCTACTTGACACAGAAAGATTATGTAAACTCAGAGATTATAATATATGCATATAAGATAAATATGGATGAATTATTTACATGACCACAATTAAGCTATGACACATGACTATTCTGTTGATATTTTAGTAGTTTATATTTTCATGTTTTATTGGCTCAAATATATTACAAATAAATATATCCTATAACATTTGAACTTTAAGTGTACTATGCATACCTGTGTGCATTGCAGTATGCACACTGTATATGTCATTGGTATTGCGAACAGATATACTGCTACTACTATTCTATATCATACTTCGACGAATCACTGCACCTGTTATATAACAACGACGAATCACTGGACCTGTCATAGAACATCGACGAATCACTGGACCTGTTTAGAACATCGACGAATCACTGGACCTGTTATACAACATCGACAAATCACTGGACCAGTTTAGAACATCGACGAATCACTGCACCTGTTATAGAACAACGACGAATCACTGCACATGTTATAGAACAACGACGAATCACTGCACCTGTTATAAAACATCGACGAATCACTGCACCTGTTATAGAACATCGACGAATCACTGGACCAGTTTAGAACATCGACGAATCACTGCACCTGTTATACAACAACAACGAATCACTGCACCTGTTATAGAACAACGACATATGGTTAAATATGGTAATAGTTACTATGACATTCAGCTTGTTGAGCTAACACTGCCATTATGACATAGGACCGCTCGTAGAACTCCCATAGGAGACAATATTAATGTTTAGTCTAATCATTTTCTTTAAACCAAATGAGTGTCCTGTAGACCACAACACTTCATCAAACATTCATAAGCAGCGTTCTAAGTGATATATTATAGGCGAAATCCAAAAAGGCCGCTGTCAGATCACCAAGGAGGTTATTTTTACATGCGCGTCACAAACCCCACCAATAATTTAACATTTTATTTGAATAAACACATATTAAAATAAAATATAAAAATCTTACTTTGATTCCACGTATTCCAAGAAAATTAAATATGAGACTTTCAGAAAAATAAACTGAAACTGAAAATCTTATTTCATATAGCTAAATACACAATTGTATTTGAGTTAATTTAATAGAGTCCAAAATATTATCTCCATTTAAACTCAGGTTAGTCTAGATCTGAGTAATTACCATTGCACCTGTTTACATTCACACGTTTGATTTGGTCTGGCAATTTATTTTAGTATTGACTATTTCGTTGACCGCATGTGATTAAAACAAGTTCGTGACTTAGAAAGCCAAATTCATTAAATGCATGCTTTGCACTATTGTTAATGTTCGTTCAGGACAGACTTTGCCTAGAGCAATACACACCTTAATTTGAAGGTTAAATTGTGTCTTCTAGCGACTGGCTACGACTATAAATGATTGTTTTTAATACTTTACTTGTATAAATTTTAGTAAGTTAGCTCTGGAAATCGTTACATGAACAATAGTGTCATCATACCTATTTTAATCGATGATGATATCCGAACAAATGTGTTTGACGTAGTTCTTCGTTGCACAAATTGTCTTCCCTCATTACTGACGATGAAAAAGCAATACATCAAGGTTTACTTGAAATTTCTGGCTGATAATAAGATACCATTGTGTCCGTCAAATGTAATTGTGTGGTGTAATTGTGAATATACGAAAGCAACATAACTACAAATCCACACATTCTGTGCCCAATCTGATTAAAATCCGATGTAGGTATGAGACTCCGACACGATTTCGAAAACTGATTACGCAAGAAAAAACAAAAATCGACATATTCAAACTAAATACAAATAAATATAATATAAAAGGTGTAAAAAAAACACAACAAAGAAAAAGAAAAAAAAAAGGATCCTCATACTACATGGGATCTTAATTAGATTGATTCTGTGGCATTCCCTCTTTGTATTATATACAGAGCCCCTCCCCCCATTGAATAGTGTGATCACCGTGAACAAGTATAATACCATGCAATATTAAAGCATTAAGACTAACCAAATTAATCCTACTTTCCATTGCTGCAATCACTCGCGGCAACCATTCTCTTAAATGCGTTGCAAATGACCGGTGTAAATTACATGGGGTATATCCAACATATTTACTATTTGGGAAGATGTCCTTTCAGATTGAGTTTCTCCAATGTGTCTGGATTTCAGATCAACTAATCTTATATACACGTGACTCACCAACAATTTTAAAGCGCGGTGGTCGTCGCGCGGCGCGTGTTCGAATTTCATGTAAATAAACAATGTATTTTACACGCGTTGTATACGTAGCTATGAGTCCCATATCGAACAGGACGCGGCACGACCATTACCGCCCTTTATAGTAATACGTTAATATTCATTTGTTGACCCTTTTATTCTGACAACCGTCTTTGAGGGATGGTAGACTCACTATTGTTAGTGGGATTTCTATTCCGCTCTGTTTATTTACTTAGGGTTTGCAACTCGCATAGTACTGTATGGTGACATCATGTCAAGATCCCGTTCAAGTCTCTTATCGTAGATAGCGAGACTGAGGCTACGACCTTCTGACATGACACATATCAATGTTCAAGGTTTGTAATGAAAAAATAAAACTTTTCTTGTCACTATCATAGTGAAAAATGTAATACATCGAAAATGTACAGAAAATATAGTTCTCGTAATCCGTCATATCGTGGGCAGCTATTTTGATCCACCTGGACATCCCAGTATCCCAGTTACCTCGGGCATGCGCATTCGCATTTTTCTGAGTTGGAACGCTTATGCGAGAGCGAGATTGTGACGGGATCTTGGTATCATGTCACCGTAGTTGCAAACCCCAAGTGATGAACTACTTG